CAACTTCCTACACCTTTTGATCCCCCCATTTCCTTGGATTCTTCCATAGTTTCCCCTTTCCCAAGTGTTAGGTGCACCTCAAGTTTCCCGATCTTCTCTTGCCCTGCCATAGCCCAAACCCCCTTCAAAATTCCCTCTTTTCCCTTCAAAATCAACACCCCAACGGTCGTAAAACCCCTCATGGTGTTCCCAATCAGCCTTTCCTTGCTCCGCTCCCCCATATCCATACCTTTCCCCATGTCGATCACCTCTTTCCTCCCTATGGAAAGGCTCCACATAGGGTCTTCTTCTTCCCCTCTCCACGATTTCCACCTCTTCTTCCTCCTTTCGGATTTCAGAATTGGTGTTCTTCGCTTTAGGGCCCTTCGCTTCGGATGCAGCCGTTTGTGCTTGAAGTTCCAACATTTTTTTCATCATATCCCTGAGATCTGGCACCTGCCCCTCCATGGTAGAAATTCTTTCCTCCACGATTTCTTTTATGTGATTCATCTCTCCTTCGAGTCTCTCCTCAAAAGCATCAACTTTCTTGGCCGCCATTACGATCCAGAGTTTGTAGATTCACAAAATCTGGATCTTGGAGTAAAAAAAACAGCAACTTCCTCCTTTTCCGGGCAAAAAACTGCTGCTGGAATTTGTCGAAAACAGCCCTCCACCGGCCCTAAGACTTGCTCTGATATCAATTTGATAGGAAATACTTGAGTTCACAAGTAACCCTAGGGGAATACTTGAGTTTGCAAGCAAACCTATCACTAATTGGATGAAAACAGCGAGAAAATAATCAAAATCTGGGCAAAAACAGCCCAAAAATAGTAGATTGCACTAAAGAAGCAAAGCAAAACACACAGAAAGAAAGATACAAGTGATCGTCTATTCTAGAGGATGATCGTTCTCTCCCAATCTCTAGACGCAAGGTCTAGAGCCCTCAAACCTCACAAGACTTCAAGAGAAACTCCAATCCAAGCATGCCTAGCCCTAACCCCTTCATGCCCTTTAAATAGCCCTCTCCACCTCTTTAAAAACTTCCTAATATAAGATAGTATTTAATTAATTCAAAAGATATCAAATCTTTTCAAATTAATTAAATCCACTTTTCTAATATAAGATATTGTTTAATTAATTCAAAAGATATCAATTTTTTTTAATTAATTAAATTCTCTTTCTAGATATAAGGTAGTATTTAATTAATTCAAAAGATATCAAATCTTTTTAATTAATTAAATCCAAACAAATTGGGCGTGGGCCCTCCCTTAGGCGGTGTAGGAAGGAGGCGGTTTGACCCTTCTCTTGTACAAGTGCCGGCCCAGGTGGGGCCGGTTGAGATTGAACCGACATATCACTCTTCTTCCTCTCTCCGTGCTGTATGCCTTACAACCCTCTAGATGTGTATTCAAGTTCATTCATCTTGAGGCTATTCTTTCTCTCTCTGTACTCTCTGCCTTCCAACCCTTTGGATGTTTATTCACGTTCATTCACCCGATCGTCTTGGTCTCCGTAACTTGACTTGGTTCATCCTTTGCATGTGATTCTAATTAACAAACCAATGTTAGAAGTTTATCACTGTCTCACTTTCATAGCCCCATTTTATTTTAATGGACATATAGTTTTTTCACTTCCATTGTCCCATTTTATTTTAATGGATGTTTAATTCTGTGAATGTCAATCGTCTTTGAAGTATTAAACCTCTTGTGATAATTACTATTTTCGAGGCTTGGATAGTTTTTGCACACTGAATTGACCAGTTTAGATGATTTCAAAATGCTTGGAATCCTAGCAATATTGCATTATATGTCTCAATTGATGTTTCCCCAAATTGAATATATATATAAAAAAAATTAGAATAATGTATTATGTGGTTTACGTGGTTTGATATGTCAAAATAAATAGTTGGTTTTGTTTCAAATTATAGGTAGCTTTTATATGGAAGAATATGAGGGTTTCTATTTTTTACATTGGAATGCAAGAACTTTTTCTACTTAATTTATTTTAGTATTATGTTTGTATTTTTTTAATGAGAAAATGATCAAATTGGTCTCCTAGTTTTTTCTGAAGGATCAAAATAATCTCCAGCTATATATTAGTACTAATTCAATCTCTTTCTTTTTTTTTAAATATGGATCAAATTAGTCTTTTTGTGGGATTATTTAGGCCCTTATTTAAAAAGTCAATGGACTAAAAAGAGATTTTCAAATAGTCGGGGATTTTTAAAATCCTTCGTAAAAAATCAGGAGACCCTTTTGATCCATAGCTCTTTTTATAATTATTCATACATTTATTATGCATTTGATTATTTTTATGTTTAGTTTTGCAATTATAGGGTAGGGTGAATGGAAGTGCTTATGTATGCTTTAAATATAAACATCCAGATTCATAGAAATATCTTTTTTATTTTCATATCTCAATGTGATGAGCTTGCACATGAATATGAACCTGTCAGATCCACTTAGTAATTTCTTATAAATTCCATTTATTTTTTGTTGTAAAGTACTTGCAACATTGTAAGGGCTTCATAATCTTGTTGCTTATTTTTAAGTCCTGTAGGGTACACAGGAGCCATCAACAAATCTTTTAATTTTTTTAAAGCTATTATCAGATAAATATCTCCCTTCTCGAGATCATGATAAACTTCTATCACTTTTGTTCTTTGTCTAGTTTGAAGATTGAAACCCTAGATCATCTCCTCTTCTTTTATTTTCATGAGAAATACCAAATATGTATTTTGATTGCAAAAAAAGGATGCTTTATTATTTGTTCATTTTTTTTTTCTATTTGAAGTGATTATATATTCGTTCACATTAAATAGACATTTGATTATGTGGTACAAGACTTCATAGCACAAATATCTGCTGGCAGCATTCCCTGTTGATGTTTTCCCAATCTAATGGTTTGGTTGTTGTTTTTCTTCTTTCTTTTTCTCTGGTCTGGTTTCTTGTTTGAAGTCTTATCAGTCATTTGAAAAAGATTAGTTGATGCTACTTGAGGATTTCTTCTGCGTGTTATTGAATTCATTATTGATGGATAGTGAATATTGTATCATTTGTTCCATGCTTTTAAGGTAGTTGATATCTTCACGCGCATTGCTGTCAATCTGGCTTAATGTTGGTGAACAGTTCGGCATATTTTGCTGTTTAGTTAAGTAGGCTCTTTCATCAAGCCTTTGAGCAGAGCTTGAAGAAGATACCTGAGGTTTCTAATAAAATTTGCTAAATGCTTGCTTTTGTGTGTCTGACTTCTTATTACCAAGTTCACTTCAATATGAGTGAAAGCGGGGCTGGGCTTTTTGGATTGATACTAAAATTTGAAAGGATGTAAAGGGCTTTTCTATGAACCTACATTAAATGGCATTGCTGAAATTTATGAAAGCGGAAGTGGATTTTGTGAAGGAAATGACAATCCAGCTTACCAAATCTCTGTTTCGCCCATATTTAGTTCTTTTTAGAGAATCTTCTCCCTTAATTACTTAAATTGCTGAACTGCAATAGACAATGCGAAATTCAAAAAAATGAAAGGGTCTTTTCTGGAAATTCCAATCCATCCTACCATGATCCTTTTCACTCATATTATTATTATTATTATTTGATAAATTTCTACCCTAATAACCCAAACCACAGTATTGTCTCCCACATATTTTAATTTTCCTATTCCCCCCTTCATCCTTTCCTCTAAAGCACCCCAGCTTTCAAGAGCTTCACTTCTCCTATCTAGCACCTTTGTGCCTCCTTTCACTGATCCTCTTACTCTCATCTCAATGCATAATGCAACATCCTCAGGCACAGCCAACAACACCCACTATGCTTTGCTTCCACTCTCTTATCTGCTTAAAATCTTGTTCCCTGCTATTGTGGATTACCGCATAATAATGAATGGCCATTGCCAATGTTAGGAGAGTGACATTGAGGTTAATCAGTTGGTAGCGGTAATCAAATGAAATGTAAATAATGTAGCACCTCATTCCCTTCTGGAAGAACAGGCAGCAGCTCTCCCTTGGCACCAGTTCTCTCAGCCAAAAGTCTCAGCTGTCATGAAAGTCACAAGTAATGATCAGCCGTTGCCAATGTCAATACAGAATGAAGCGAGGCCTATCAGTTTAAGGCTTCAGATGAATTTGAACAAGGCTGTCTCTCTCCCTCTCTTTGATAGTGGAGGAGGAGCATTAAACGATCTTTGTGCTATCTCATATTGCTCCCACAAGGTGTCCAAGCATTCTTGGACTAGAGCTTAGCTACAAATAGTGTTTGGGGAGGTGTTTAATTTTATTTGCATTCTGTATGCTAAAGAAGCTCATTTCTTACCTACTCTTTGAAATGTTCTCCATGATATTTGTTTAAATCACTGCATTTTTCCTCCTGTGTAGGCTTGGTTCGAGTAATCCATGGTAATGTTCTTTCTTAGTTTTAAGCTCCTATGTCCTTTGTATTTCTTCTTTGTGTTGTATTTTAAACTTGGCTACTCCTAGAAGCTTGTTTTGTGATTCATTTTCTGTACATGGACTGCATGTGAAGTGCTTGATGATGGCCACAATGACATGCTTCTGAATTGATGAGTTATTGTGGCTTCCAGACACATGCACTTGGGGAAGCCTATGCAGTTTGACCAAAATGCTTGTTAAAATAACCTGACTTGCATTCTCTTCCGCATCATTCTTTTGTTGCTGCATTTGATTCTCTTCATGCTAATTTCCTAGCTCTGTCATTGCTTTTTCTATCACCTTATGATCTTCTAGCTTCCTCTGGTTCCGTTTATAATTCTACCAGGCAAACTTGTGTCCTTATATATGGTCCAGCGGATCATTTAAATGAAACATCTGAGGTGCCTAGACTCATTACTGGAGTTAGCGGTAGAGCTTATAAAATCTATCATTAACCCAGTAGGGTTGGACCATTGTTATTGAACTTGGAATATCTAATTGCAGTGTGTTAAAACTGGGATTTATGTGCATCCGCTGCTCAAGTTTTTTACTTCTTTCTGAAAAAATTGCTCAAATGTTTAAGTTTTTATTTCAGGGTGTTGGTAATGATGACCAAAAAGTTCTCATTCTTGCTGCTACAAATACACCATATGCACTTGATCAGGTTTTGTGATGTTCTTGGCCATACTTCTCAAATGCAATGAGCAATTGCTAATTTGATTTTGTTTTTCTTTTATTTACCAATAAAAGGCTGTTCGACGTCGTTTTGACAAGCGGATCTATATTCCTCTTCCAGACCTGAAGGCTAGGCAGCATATGTTCAAGGTATTGCCGCAATATCTGCTTCTTGTTGATCATTAAAATTGGTCTACTTTAGTAAGACCTCACCTCATCACTCTCCTAGATCACTTTGTGAGAACTGTGACTGTCTGCCTTACATGGTTTTTCCTTCTGCTTATCACGTTTATTTTTTCAAGCTTTATTTTTTACATTTGACTCTTTTTCTGTCAAAATAATTCTATAACTATGTTCATTATTTCGTAACTATTCCCCCCATATTTTGATATAAAACATTAGTTACATTGACTCTAATAAAGCTATTCTCATTTATACAGGTACATCTGGGAGATACTCCTCACAGTTTGACTGAAAGTGATTTTGAGAGCTTGGCTCGCAGGACAGAAGGTTTTTCAGGCTCAGATATTTCTGTTTGTGTATGTTTTTTCTCAGAATATTATTGCAATCGTTTATATTCAGGGAGATTGTCCCTAGATTGTTATGACGTCAATTTTTTTGCCTTACTTATGACAGGTCAAGGGTCAATTTTTTTGCCTTATGACAGGTCAAGGATGTTCTCTTTGAACCTGTCAGAAAAACGCAGGATGCAATGTTCTTTATTAAGACTCCTGATGGAATGTGGATCCCATGTGGGCCTAAAACATCTGGAGCTGTGCAGACCACAATGCAGGAACTTGCTGCAAAAGGCCTTGCTGCAAAGGTAGGCTTAAAAAGGAGAACATTAAAAAAAAAAAAAAAACTTTAAAGATCTATTCAAATTCTACTGTCACAACTACTGGAGCCAAGCTTGTGTAAGCGTGAGCTCAAGTGTTGTTTGGCTTGGTTTGTTAAGAAAATAAGCCATATTTTTCTATATGTGATTGGCTTATTAACTTATTACGTTAAATACAAGCTATTCTCAAATATAAAGTTTATATATATATATATATATATATATATATATATATATATATATATATATATA